TTTGTTTAAAGGGAAAATGCGAGTCCAGGTGCAAAAGCTAGTGTCTTTCTAGCAGAAGAAATATTATGATTCATCCCATGTGCTGTAAGTAAGGCAGTGGAAATGCAATCTGAGAATGAGCATCTTGATGTTTTCAAAGGGAATTGTGTCCTGGTGGTTGAAATGGCCCCTGAGAAGTCTCTGCTTCTATTCTACTTTTCTGTCTTCACTCTCTGAAATAGAATTTTCTCCAAAGAAGATATGGGAATGACCAGTAAGCAGAGATGCTCAACCTTTAGCCATAAGAGAAATACAAATTAAGACTAATGAGAGACTACTTTACTCACACTATAATGGCTGTAATGAAAAGACAGATGAGAAGTGGAAACAGTATGAAGGAAGTGAAACCCTCCTGTACTGCTGTTAGTAATGATAAATGGGGCATGAACATTGGAGAATAATTCAGCAGTTTTTCACAAATAAAATTTGCCATAGGACCAAGAAATTCCACTAATAATTTCTACTGTGATAATACGAAAAACATATTTTCACACAAAAATGTGCATAACAATGTTTATAACTGGAACAAACAAAATATTCCTGAGCTGTTAAATAGATGGATTAACTATGGTGTATTCATATACCTAAAGACATTATACAGTAATAAAGGGAACAAAATACTGATAAATACAACAACATGGATAAAACTAAAAACAATAGTCCCTGTGGAAAAAAAAAAACTATTTATAAGACAGCATAAATTGCATTATTCCATTTATGTCAGAATTCTAGAAAGGGTAATACATAGAGACAAAAACAAATTGGTCTTTACCTGGCGTTAGGGTCTTATTGGAAAAGACATCTATGGCCTATGAAGTTTCTTTGGGGTTGACACAAAAGTTATAACATTATATTTTGGTGATAGCTTCATGATGCTTTAAAAATACTAAAAATATTTAAATTTTATGCTCTAAATAGGTGAATTTTACTCATTGTAAATTATATTTCATTATCAAAACTATTAAAGTAATGATAATATCAAAGTAAATTTGAGGGCAAGAAGAAAGTGACATATTCAGAAATTTTAGGAATTGGATTAAAATATTTTATCATATTTGTAAGTTCATTACCTTTTTTAACTGTGAATTCTGTCTTGTTTTTTAAAATTTATCTTTTTTTACACTCATCTATATATTGGAAGTTATGTTTATGTAGAAGATTTTTTCATTAATTGTTTACCCATTACATTTATAGATTTCAACGCAAGCATGAAATAAATGGTGGAAAATAAAAGCAGATTTTACATTGGTTATATAATTTAAATTCTTTCAATATTAATTCAGTGAAAAAGGGATGAATCTCATCTTTCTTGTTGACAAGAGAACATATCTATCAATACCACTTATTAAAAGAATTAGTATACTCACATAGGGTCATTAATGACTGTCTTCAAAGCACTGAGCAAATCTGTACTTGACATTGTGTTGAAGTCCACTCTAACTGCTGCCCCCTTGGCCTTCATGTGAGCAATGTTGTCTGGTTGATCCCCAAACAAAGGGATGCCCACCATGGGGACCCCGTGGTAGATGGCCTCATAGACGCCATTGGCTCCACCATGAGTTATGAAAGCCTTGGTTTTTGGATGACCTAGAATTGGGTGAATATCAGGAGAATTATTCACTATGAGTCCTAGGAATAAAATGGGAAATGCACAACACAGGACACTGAAAGTGGTAATGTTTTCTAGGTAACAGGTTAGAACACCCAGACACTGCCCTGAAATTGCTGTCAGATTTCAGAGGAGGAAGCACCTACTGTTGCTGGAGAGGAAAGTGAGGCCTGCA